TAAGACAAAATTGGAAACTGATACAATACAATTTTTACTTCATAAAAAGAGAACTTAGAAACAATAAGAGATGTACCCTAAATTACACAGAGCAAGGCTTTGAGCTGGGATTCAAACCCAAGTTGTTTCTAATTCTGGGTACTTAACAACTGGATAGTAGAACAATGATGGCTATCACTTACTGCACACTTGCCCCATGAAAAGTAAAATTAACATTCTAAAAGTTTTCCCTCAAAAATAATAAGTACTTTAGGACAAATTCCAAATAATTCATAAGATTAAAAAATTGGTTTTAGCATAAATTAGGCTCTATATTTATTCAATTCTTTACTGTCACATTATTGGGATGAAGATTATTGGATGAAGATTATAATTATTCATATTTTTAAAAACTATCATTAAAAAACATATCTGATACATGACATGTATAAATGAAACAGGGAGTGAAGCAGTTTTTTATCTGCAATATTCAAGTACCGAAGGCAAGCATGCTCTGAGTGAGGAGTCTGGAGGTAACATAGAGGGCAGGATTTGCTCCCGGTGTCCAGATCTCATTCTCCCACTGCGAGTCATGAGGATCTGAGTTGTGAGTACATGTATGTTTGTGTGCATGCTGTATTATGTATGTACGCACTTGGGTGATCTTATTAAACCACTCACTCTTTCTGGAAACTGGACCATCCAAAGGACTCGTTTTGACTGACCATGGTTTCTGTCCAAGTAGGCTTACCAGAGGTCGTTAGTGACTAACACCTAAGAACATTTGCTACATAGAGTAGATTTTCTTATATGAATGCAGAACAGGAAACTTACCAAATCTCTTAGGCAAAATCCTAGCTAAGCTGAATAACTGTAAAGGGAACAGTTATTTTCCTGCCATGTGTTGGCAGTAAGGTCACATATATTATCAGGTTACAAAATCTATGCAAATCTGTGAAAGGTGATACATATTATAATTACAAAAGAGCATAACTAAATATTATAGTTCTTATCTTTAAAGTCTCCATGATTCTTTAATCTATCAACTGATTTCATAATATAGTGTTCACTATACTATTTTTCTCCTGGGCCCCAGAAAAAAAATGCTACCTCAAGAAACTAATACTTTGTTCAGGGCCTTGATTTAAAAATATTTACTGCTATCAAAGTAAAGGTTTATTTTAGGATAATGGGATTTACATACAAATCATTGAATTTAATACATTGTATCACATTGTATGTAAGTGTAAAGTGCAGTTATTATACAAATTCTACTCTGTGCTGCTCAGATAGGCTTCCCTTCATTAATATGACTAAGTTTTCTAGTTTAGATATTAAACCTTAAAAAAAACTTCACTTTGAGAATATTATACCTGAGATGTATGTTCTATGGCACTTTGCATATGTTCTTATTCCAAGTGAACCAATTCATCTTTTTTTAATTTTGTCTTTTAACAGAACTCTTAAGCACTTCTAAGACAAGAATCCCAGAGAATCACAAACGCGGAGAAGCAGAGTCCAAGACGAGCTTGGAGATGTTGTGTGGTTACTCCGGGTGATGCGTTAAGACTGTGTGGGAGCACATCCTTGAGGATACGTGATACTTTAGGAAAGATTTTTCTTTGGAAACACAGAATCAAGTTATTTTCATTATAAAACAATGGAAATATTTTACCCCAGACATAAGTACCCATCTTTACCATTAATTTAAAATTTCTGAAAGTTTAAAATAAAAAAATTTATATATCTTCATTAGAGTCAAATATTTAAAACTTAGGAATCACGCCATCAGATAACATAGCAGCTTTATTGCTCTTTTCATTTTTCATATATTTATTAGAGATATTTTAAATAAATGGTAACCTGTGGATTACAGAAGTGAGAAAAACACTCTTGAGGTGACATTTCTTCACTGATGAGTGAAGTCCTTTAACAGCTAAATGAATGACAAGTTAGAAGCAGACCTAGCCCCATCAGTCCTTTAACAGCTAAATGAATGACAAGTTAGAAGCAGACCTAGCCCCATCAGCGGCTATGTGACCTTGAAGAAGGGATATGGTCAATGACTTGGTGATTCTACAGACACTGCGAAGGTCCCGGGAGATGCCAAAACCAGGACCCAAAAGCTGAGTGCGGCCCGATACCGTGTTTAGCATCACAGGAGGCTTCACAGGTTCTCTGCTTGTCTGTGAGGCTCTTTGAGAGCAACACAAGTAAGTTCGAGCCAAGCAAACTGCTCGGGGAAACATGAAAACGGGTTTGCCAGGACAACTGCACCACGCTAGCATCTAAGTTCCTTGGAGATGGTGTCTTCACTCAGATCTTGGGAGACTCACTCCTGCCATCTTTTTGACCAAGTGGGCCCCTGGGGCTGAATATTCCTGTTCCCAGAAATACCAGGTCCAAATGAATCATCTCCAGCTGGAATGTTCTCTTGTATTTATCGAACTCTTACTATAGGTAGAGTGTAGGATGAATCATCACATGAAATGTTCTCTACAAATTTGGGCTTCTAAAAAAAGCAGCAGCATATTGAATTCTGAGTCGTGTTTGTCTCTGTAACACCACATTTTTGCTCCAGTTCCTTTGCTCAGCCTAAAATGCCCTCTGTTTTCTAAAAAACCCTGTATTTTTCTGGAGAGTTTCTTGACTTGCATTCTTAACTTCCTTGCCTGCTGCTTTCTTACTCTCATGGCCCTTATGAAGATGGATTTGATCAACTTCTGCCAGGGTTGAGCCTCTGAAGCTCTTGTACTGAGCCCTGTCTGCTGAGAGCACCTTTTCAGGAGTTGAGAGCCTCCTTCACAGACAACCTTATACCTAGTTTTGTAAGTTTTGGAGTTTCTGCAAATAGGATCCAAGAAATGCCATCTTGGTGCACAGAATTCAATTAACAGTATTCAATACCAATCTTAGTAAATTATGTTTTAGAGTATAACAGGCAAATTTTATCTGTTTTCCCATCATTCATCATGTAAATGCATATAAATCTTACTTTACACCCCACAATAAAGAAGTCTAATCTATTTTATAGTCCAAGTTCTCCAGTGATTCTGTACTTGGCTTAAAAAAAAAAGAGTTCCCATATTCAAGTAATTTTTAAAACCCCATTAATCTGAAATCTTAACAATCTGATTGTTACTTTAGGAAGAGGCTGGTGAAATGAATGTACAGAGCAAATGTGGATGGAGTGATCTCTTTTAAGACTTAGGAGATTCAGTAGTGTTCTCTGGAGGACACTGCATTTTGAAGGAATTAGACCTTTAAACAGGTGTCTGAAGGAACTTTTACTTATTGAAGAGTTTTCGTTTAATGACAGCAGCCCAAATACCTTGCAGCACGGTATCACTGTTTGACAAAGTCTGCTACGTTTTACAGAGTTTGACATTTGCAAGAGTAGAGAATTTGCATATTGGACTGAATAATTCCTAAGAAAAAGCAGCAACAATGAAGCATTCAGACATCAGAAATATGCTTAAGCAGGACTCAGAAAGTACCTTCTGAACCTCCTAGCACTTCAGCTTCACTCTAGTGACAATGTTAGGTTAATAACCACAGGGTCATGACCATCTAGATAACGAGGCAGTAATTAGTGCAGCTAGAAGAGCTATGGAAATTTATGTTAAACTTATTTTACTGAAGAAGAGAATTTTCTTAGCATCAAACATGTGAACTCTGGTAATTTAACAATTTAAGTGAAAAACAAGACAAGGTAATTGCAATTTAATTTACAAAAACAGCATTTTTTTTTCAAGTTTGCTTGAATAAGTATGCTAACTTCTTTTTTTTTTCCATTTATTTTTATTAGTTGGAGGCTAATTACTTTACAATATTGTAGTGGTTTTTGTCATACATTGACATGAATCAGCCATGGATTTACATGTGTTCCCCATCCCGTTCCCCCCTCCCACCTCTCTCTCCACCCAATCCCTCTGGGTCTTCCCAGTGTACCAGGCCTGAGCACCTGTCTCACGCATCCAACCTGGGCTGATGATCTGTTTCACCCTTGATAATATACATGTTTTGATGCTGTTCTCTCGAAACATCCCACCCTAGACATCTTTACAATATTAGCGAAGAATGTAAAAACCATTTTACTCATGGATTTAAATAATTTCTTATATTGTTATTTATCATATCTCATGTGGTACTATATTTTCAAATGTTTAATTTATGTCTGCAGTGAAATGCATATTAAAAGATACTATATCATATGATTGCTTATTTGAGGATTCTAAAAAAATTAATATAAATTAACTTATTTCCAAAACAGAGATAGAGTCATAGATACAGAAAACAGACTTATGGTTTCCAAAGAGGAAAGGAGGGGAGGGATAAATAAGAAGTTGGAGATTAACATATACATACTACTATATATAAAACAGATAAACAACAAGGGCCCACATATAGCACAGGGAACTATATTCAATATCTTGTAATAACCTGTAGGAGAAAAGAAGCTGGAAAAGTGTAGATTTATTTTATTTATATCTATCTATATAAATAGATATATCTATATAGGAATAGATATATATCATTGTGTGTTACAGAATCATTTTGCTACACATCTGAAACTAACGCAACCTTGTAAATCAAAGAAAAAGAAAGTAAGTGAAGTCCCTTAGTTGTGTCTGACTCTTTGTGGCCCCATGTGCTGCAGCACACCAGGCTTCCCTGTCCATCACCAACCCCTGGAGCCTACTCAAACTCATGTCCATTGAGTCGGTGATGCCATCCACCCATCTCATCCTGTGTCGCCTCCTTCTCCTTATTCAATCTTTCCCAGAAACAGGGTCTTTTCCAGTAAGTCAGTTCTTCGCATCAGGTGGCCAAAGTATTGGAGTTTCAGCTTCAGCATCAGTCCTTCCGATTAATATTAAGGACTGATTTCCTTTAAGATTGACTGGCTGGATCTCCTTGCTGTCCAGGGGACTCTCAAGAGTCTTCTCCAACACCACAGTTCAAAAGCACCAATTCTTTGGTGTTCAGCTTTCTTTATTGTCCAACTCTCACATCCATACATGACCACTGGAAAAACCATAGCTTTGACTAGACGGACCTTTGTTGGCAAAGTAATGTCTCTGCTTTTTAATATGCTATCTAGGTTGGTCATATCTTTTCTTCCAAGGAGCAAGTGTCTTTTAACTTCATGGCTGCAGTCACCATCTGCAGTGATTTTGGAGCCCATGAAAATAAAGTCTCTCACTGTTTCCCTGGTTACTCCATCTATTTGCCAAGAAGTGATGGGACCAGATGCCATGATCTTAGTTTGCTGAATGTTGAGTTTTAAGCCAACTTTTTGATTCTTCTCTTTCACTTTCATCAAGAGGCTCTTTAGTTCTTTGCTTTCTGCCATAAGGGTGGTGTCAGCTGCATATCTGAGATTATTGATATATCTCCCAGCAATCTTGATTTCAGCTTGTGCTTCATCCAGCCTGGCATTTTGCATGATGTACTCTGCATGTAAGTTAAGTAAACAGGGTGGCAATATACAGCCTTGACGTACTCCTTTCCCAATTTGTAACCAGTCTGTTGTTCCATGTCCAGTTCTAACTGTTACTTCTTGACCTGTATACATATTTCTCAGGAGGCAGGTCAGATGGTCTGGTATTCCCATCTCTTGAAGAATTTTCCACAGTTTGTTGTGGTCCACACAGTCAAAGGCTTTGGCATAGTCAATAAAGCAGAAGTAGATGTTTTTTCTGGAACTCTCTTGCTTTTTCGATGATCCAACAGATGTTGGCAATTTGATCTCTGGTTCCTATGCCTTTTCTAAAACCAGCTTGAACATCTGGAAATTCACAGCACATGTACTGTTGAAGCCTGGCTTGGAGAATATGGAGCATTACTTTGCTAGCATGTGAGATAAGTGCAATTGTGTGGTAGTTTGAACATTCTTTGACATTGCCTTTCTTTGGGACTAGAATGAAAACTGACCTTTTCCAGTCCCGTGGCCACTTCTGGGTTTTCCAAATTTGCTGGCATATTGAGTGCAGCACTTTCACAGCATTATCTTTTAGGATTTGAAATAGCTCAACTGGAATTCTATCACCTCCACTAGCTTTGTTTCTAGTGATGCTTTCTAAGGCCCACTTGACTTCGCATTCCAGAATGTCTGGCTCTAGGTGAGTGATCCCAACATCATGGTTATCTGGGTCATGAAGATCTTTTTTGTATAGTTCTTCTGTGTATTCTTGCCACCTCTTAATATCTTCTGCTTCTTTTAGGTCCATACGATTTCTGCCATTTATTGTGCCCATCTTTGCATGAAATGTTCCGTTGGTATCTCTAATATTTTTGAAGAGATCTCTAGTCTTTCCCATTCTACTGTTTTCCTCTATTTCTTTGCATTGATCACTGAAGAAGGCTTTCTTATCTCTCCTTGTTATTCTTTGGAACTCTGCATTCAAATGAGTATATCTTTCCTTTTCTCCTTTGCCTTTAGCTTCTCTTCTTCTCTCAAGTATTTGCAAGCCCTCCTCAAGACAGTCATTTTGCCTTTTTGCATTTCTTTTTCTTGAGAATGGTCTAGATCACTACCTCTTGTTCAGCGTCACAAACCTCCATCCACAGTTCGTCAGGCACTCTGTCTATCAGATCTAGTCCCTTGGATCTATCTCTCACTTCCACTGTATAGTCATAAGGAATTTGATTTGGGTCATACCTGAATGGTCTACGGCTTTTCCCTACTTTCTTCCTCTCACCTTCTCCCCCCTTCCCTCCGTACTCCTCCTCCTCCTTCCCCATGCACCCGGCGGGGCCAGAGGGACTGACCGGTGTTGTGAGGAGGCATAACCAGAGGCTCGGAGCCGGCGATGCCAAACCAGGACCACGCAACCTGGGAAGCTCAGTTGAGTTCACAGTTGCCCTGTGGGTTTTACATCTCATCAGAGAGCTCTCCCCATGCACATTGTGGAGCAGAAGGACATGCGCTTTTCTGCAAGAACTCCAAAATTACAACTCTCTGCTGAACAACCATTGACAGGACAATGTTGGATCCCACCAAAAAAATTTACCCCAAAGACAAAGGAGAAGCCCCAGCAAGAGTGTAGGAGGGGCAAAACTGCATTTAGAATCAAGTCCCACACCCGCCAGAGACACTCGGAGGACTCAACAGAACCTTGTGCGCACCAGGAGACGCCACAGACACTGAGCCAGACCTGAGTGTCTGACTGTCTGAGTGTCTCCTGTGGAGGCACAGATGGGTCAGCAGCGGCCCGCCGCAGGCGCAGGGCTCTGGGTGCAGCAGACCTGGGCATGGCTTGAGCCCTCTTGGAGGAGGTCGCCATTAACCCCACCAGAGAGCCGCCAGAACTTACACAGGACTGGGAAACAGACTTGGAGGCACAGAGAGAACCTTGTGCACCAGGATTGAAGATAAAGGAGCAGCGACCCCACCAGAGACCGACCCAGACTTGCCCGTGAGTGTCCAGGAGTCTTTGGCAGATGCGTGGGTCAGCGGAGGCCCGCTGCAGGGTCGGGGGCACTTACTGCAGCAGTGCCCACATGGGACCTTCTGAAGGAGGTCGCCACTATCTTCACTACCTCCACCACAGGTCAAACAACAGGGAGGGAACAGCCCCAGCCACCAACAGAAAATTGAATTAAAGATTTACGGAGCACGGCCCTGTCCATCAGAACAGGAACCAGTTTCCCTCTCATTTCAGTCTCTCCCATCAGGAAGCTTCCATCAGCCTCTTATCCATCTCCAACAGAGGGCAGACAGACTGAAAACCACAACCACAGAAAAGATACTATACCAAACATAAAATTGTGAAATTAAGAAGCCTTAGGTCTCTTAGAATAATGGCCAATGTTCTGGAGCAACTGTTTTTTTGCAAAGGACGAGACAGCAAACATTTTAGAATCTCTGCCACAATCACCGAACGCCATTGTGTACCACAAAAGCAGCCTTAGCCTCGATGAAGACACATGAGCATGACTATGTTCCAGTAGAACCTGATTTACAAAATCACACAGCAGGCATTTTTTTGGCAGCCCTCCGGCAGGGCCACAGTTTGCTGACTCACTTCCACCTCCTCCCAAATACCAGACTTGTTCTGGGCACTTTCCCTTCCTATGTGGTACAACTGAGTAAAACAGTCACAAAGTTTAATCAAGTAGCAAATCAGCATAGCTTTTCCCCAGGAATTCCAGGAGTACCCAATTCACCTTTAAAACCAACCGCACCCTGAAATACAGAAATGGTCATTAGCAGTTTTTTCAAACAATGTACTAACTGCTCAGGTTGGCATAGATGAGCTCCTTTTGCACACACCAAAGAGTATACCTTAAGTTCTTTCTTCATATTATTCACAAACTGCTGACAATAAAGCAATAGAAAAAAAAAAAAGAAAGTTAGCAGTAATTATCAACGTGCTAATCAAAACTCAAACCTTCTCCACACAGACATAAACAATTTAGCTTTGCTATTTCTTTTACATTTGTCAAAGACAAGGAATGATTCTTTCTCTGTTCCTTCAAGTAGTACCTGGTGCTTTCAAATCAAATAAGTTAGGAAATTTCAGACTCCAAGATACCTATATTTTTATATTTAGTGTGCCTGACCTTCCACTGCATCCTCAAGGAAAATCCCCGAAGCCGCATTATTCCATTTGTCTGCTTTCTGCCCTTCCACCTGCCTGGAAAAATTTGCTCAGTGAAGCTGATTTGAACCTTTAATTGCTTAAATGACTCTTCACAAATTCAGTCTAATAAACTTATCCTTGAGACAGTGGAAACTAATGTAAACTCTTTGAATTTCTCTATCACTAATGCTTAGTAGAGATTAATAAATATATCAGAACTTTATGAGTATATAATACTATTATTACGTTGATTTAAGGTACACAAGTAAATGTCAACTTCAAGTTCCTACAGATTAGATGAGATTATATCAGATGCAATAAAATTACAAAAACAAAAAAGAACTTGTCAATTAATCTAATATGTTCAATATTGGATTAGAAAGGATGGAAAACTATTCTTTACTTCCATAATGACATAGACAAAAAGTCAAAACCATAAATATTAAATCCTACTTCTCTGAGGTTATCACTAAAGGGAAAATATTCCTTCTTTAAATATTATGAACATATTTTGATTATGAATATGAACAATTATTTATTATTGGTGCAGTGTGTCTTTGGAAGGGGCATGTAAATAATGTTGGATCAGAAATAATGGGAAATTCACTAGTAATCTCTGGGTTAACAGACTAGACCACTCAGAGTGGAAACTTTCATAGACTGAGATTAGAAGGTAGGGGTAGTAGAAAAAAATCAATACTCAAGTTTTTCATTATAGAGTCAAGTAAATTGACTTATTTCAGCTTAAATTATTTTGCTTTTTCTCTGAAACTATACCAGCAAAGCAATTATTTCATAAAGCCTATACTTTGGGGGAAATTAACTTGATAAGGAAGATAATAATACAAAAATAAACTGGAAAATTATTCCCCAAATAGACCTCAGATCATACTTCCCCTTAGGTCCAGGAACATTGAAATTGAGTGCTCCTTTATAAAACTCTGAGGGAATTTTAACTCTGAAGTGGGTGAAGGTATTAACAAGGGTCTTAAAAAACTGAGAAAATAAAGCGGTTGCTAAGTAATTAGGTTGCTAACTATACTTGCAAAGAAAAAGGAATTAAAAGATTCATAAAATTACAATAATTGAGTCTAAATGAAAGAAAAGCATTAATTATTATTTCATGCGATGTCATCCAGAGTTTAGTCTTGGAGAGAGGGCATGGTTAGAGCGGTTTGATTAGGTGACCTGACACAGAGTGCTCATCACAGTTATGTGTTTTACGAGCAGCGGTTGAATCTCAAATCGCCTTTCTCCATGAGAGCGGGTCATCAGCTTTATGAAGAAAAAAGCAGCCGTAAATCAGACTAATGAAGCTTCACAGTGTGGGGGAGAAAATAGGCAGTATAGGTAAACATTAAGTCAAGCCAAAACTTGGGGCATTTTTCCAAATATTTTTGATTCTTCTCTAACTAGTTGGCAATATCAAACTAAGGCTAT